TATGTTCAGACTTCAGTATTCCAACTCATTGTCGGACTTTAACACACACGTACAAGAAAGCTGGCTGTTGTCTTCTGTTGTATATATATATAGGGCAGAGAGAGAAAGCGGAATTTACCAGTTTTGGCAGCATGGTAAAGGTGTTACTACACAACATCTAGTCAACACAGAACGTACATGCATGGTTAGTCTAATTTTTAAGATGAATAGCGTACAGAATCAATGGTTATGAAACAAGTGTTGGTTTGTAGGGATTTAATTGGTTACAGAATTTCATCATGAGCTGACATTAGTTAGAGAACCATTGGAAAACCTGGAAGTACTGAACAGCTGTTTTGTCCTAGTTTGAGACTCTTCATCAGTACGCACCCACCCACTCACTAGCGGGGTTCGAACCCAGGACATTCTGGTTACAAGGCGAGCTCGTATACCATTAAGCCACTGGGACCCGACCCAGTGGGCCATGAATTCTAACTTCTGCCAATTCACGACATAGCGAAACCCCTAGCCAATGTCTTCGGTAGCGAGTATTTGTCCTCACACTCGACCTGCTGCACCCTACTGGTCACGACTTCTCACTAGAATCCAAGGTAACCTACTTGAATAAGACAAGTCACTAGTGAGCATCTCCTTGTTATTCAAGTGTTGGTTTGTAGGGATTTGATTTGGTTACAGTTTGAATATGGTTCGTTTACACCGAAGAGTAATGTGAATAACATCAGAATCATTGCCTTAGGTACTTTTCATTTTGTCTCCCTTAAATACAAACATTTTGGAGAAATGGTTTGTAATAGATGTGTATAAAGCAACTAAGAATACCGTATTTCTGCGGCGATGTGATTATAAGCGGGGATTCGTGCCTGACACTTTATCTAGTTAATAATCCTATATCACTCACGGAGACGAGAGAAAAATACCATAAGGGATTATCTTGAGTCATATGAGGTACTGTAGGCAGCTATTTCACTTGAAGATCCTAGGTAAGGAGGAAATACTATGCAATATACTACGCTGAGACTTCTGTATATAGTGTAAACCTTATGTGCAGAATAAAGGTATTAATTATTATTATGTTTACATTGATTTGAATTAGATGGGTGATTCCAATAAATGTACCGTTTAATTTTTTTTAGAATAAACTGGGAAATGATGCTATTTTTTTGAAAAAAGGCTTTTAAGTACAAAAATAGTCTTAAATAAACACTTCCACTTTATCGTTAGTTTAATCAAAAAGCCTTAAAATATAATCAAACTTTAAAAAGGTATCTTTTAAAACACACACTCAACGCGTAGATTCAAGCTGCCATATACATTTAGATAAAATGTAGCATACAAAAGCCATTTACTCCTTGTAGATATGGTAATTTGGACAGCATATTTATTTCTGGTGAAACGTGCGCATCAAACTGATGAGGCTCAGATAGAACAAAGGAAATTCACTAAGTCCTTCTACTGCTAACCACCATCAGTCATAAAGTGGACAGTATATAATGTACTGAGCTATCCAGTAATACAGTGATGCTAGAAATCAATTAGAACTTTTATATTAAACGAAGTGATGAAGCAGTAAGTCAGACTGAAGAAAATACTAAGTTCCAGTGATGGATCCCATTATATGAGTCTGGTAAGATTTTATGTGTATGTGGATTTAGGTAGACCTTATGTCACACTAACAATTGTTAATACTACTGTATTATTAAGAATTAATTCATCATTCGACCCTAACTATAGGACTTAATGGCTAATACAAGAGCTACATAATTTTGAAATGAAATAACTCGAAATCAGTTATGTAGTCTTTTAACTGAAAGAATTGTGTTGTTGGGTGACTTCTTTGTTGCGGAGTGTTAGTACATTCTTCGTCAAACTTTAAACAGTCGTTCGCTGATAAGCAACTACTAAGTGGTCGCCTGAATAAATCACTGAGCTACCTAAGTTTCCATCTAGTGAATCGGGAAGGCAACAGACACATTCGTCAACCTGAAACTGATCTGGAAATCTTCATCACTCAACATCAACAACAAAATCCAGTCGGATTTTCAATACAAAAGTCAAGTCGGTCAGCCCTTCTATACGGATCAGAAACTTGGTGGGCGGGTTACAAAGAATATTTCCAACAGGCTGGTTATTGCAGAACTTTATCAACAACTAACTGTCTTCGCTCTATACTGAATGAAGATCATATGGCCGGGCCGGAAAGAATCACCAACAAGAAACTATGTGAACAAACAAAACAAAACACGAACCAATCGGTCAACAAATATGCAGGAGAAAGTGGAGATGGATTGGACACTCACTGAGGAGGTGGCCGCTGGGTGACATCGCGCGCGTCAGGTCATTGCTCGAGTAGAACCCGAAAGGGAAGCGGCGAGTGGGACGTCAGTGCAAGGGTGGGTGACATGGAGGAGATGGTGTGAAGAGGAGTTGAAACAGTATGGACTAACATGGATGCAGGTGAAAATTACAGAAGACAGAAGTGGCAAGTGGAGAAGTGCAGTTGAAGCCCTATGTTCCACTAGGAACCCAAGGGAACAATAATAATAATTATGCATAAACTCTTCTCCATTTCTAAATTTTTTAATCATTTAACTTTATTTTTGGATAGCTACATGAACTTGCACACAGATTTGCTTCGCTACGATGCAGAGCACGTCTCAAAAGAAATGGGAGAATAATACCGTAGAGACTTAGATATTGCTTCAGATGGGACAATACAGCGTCACACGATGTACTGCAGCATACTTTTATACTGGAAGCTGTTGTACGAGGAGTAGATATTTTACAGTTCAAATACATCAAAAATCCTATACTATGTTTTAACATATTGCTTGGAATGAAGCCGTCATTATCATTATTAGAGAGACTTTCATTTACGTAAAAGATCTCATGACTTTATTCGGCTTTATCAGTTTGAATCAAACAAAAATAGCGGTTTATGTAGAATAAGATGGTACCATCGTTTGTTGCATTGTCTTCTTATCAGCTGAGTACAGCTCAGAAGCATTATTAGATTGACATACAAAATAATTTTGACACAATTGCAAATGCTGCATGATATTTACTGACAAGAGACTCCAGACTTGATAAACATTACTTAGAAATTACACTTATATAATTAATATATACGACAGGCAGAATGGTCCAATTCTGCTCAAGTATGCCAAAGCAATGCTATCAGACCCCTGAAATACGATATATGTGTTCAGAAAGAAGCAGTTATTAGTCTCTCATTGTCCTGGTAAATGGATGTATTTACTATTTATTTTATTTGTCTACGTAATTTTTGGCTTTAACCTCCTTCCCTTGCCTACAATGTGATATTGTTTGCCATTCGTTGATATGGTGTGAGTTGAACTCACCACATCTGTACTCCTTTTATGAGTTATTCATCATTTTATTCACCTCTTGTTCTTAATGCGCAACTGCACTGACATTGTATCCAAGCTTTTACTGTTCACGTAAACTTGAATCTTGTATGTATAAGTTATGTGTATAGCTTGGAGTCTCCTGTCAACTGACATCAAGTAATATTTGGAAGTACATTACAGTTATTCTGTGCATGAACTTAATGATTTATTTAGGCTGTAAGCAGATGATGAGAAGCCTGATGTCATCTTATTCCGCACAAACTATTGTTTATGTTTTATTCAAAGACAACAAATTACTTATTATGACCAACAGTTAACTCACCGTGTATAGAAAGTTAATAAATGCCACTTGATTGTTGACATGATTATAAAAATAAACCTATTGATAATACGACAGGAAATTTAACTGTTGGCCTTCGATAGCGTTGATCGAGAGGTGATTTGGAAACTACTTCGCTACTACCATGGGTCCCATCGACAATTATACATCTCATCCAACAGTTATATGACAATGCTGCATCCCAAGTAATCCACGACGGAAAACTTACGGAGGCCTTCGAAGTGAAGACAGGAGTAAGACAAGGCTGCCTACTATCGCCAACGATCTTCCTGATTGCAGTAGATTGGATAATGCGACAGACAGCAGGGAATGAGGAAACAGGCATAAAATGGACTCACACAAAAAGAGAGCTTGGAGGATCTGGACTTCGCCGATGATATACATCTGATTTCCCACAAACTGGAAGATATGCAAGTGAAAAGCAACAAGTTGTCCGAAGAGGCATCAAAGATAGGACTTCCTTCAGGTGAACATAGATAAAACAGAGGTGATGAAGATTCCTGGCCAACACCAACAGCCACAACTACAACAACAGACAACAATCAGCCAGCCTAAATGGGAGGAACCTGAAAGAAACAACCTCCTTCACCTACCTACCGACCTGGGAAGCATCGTTTCAACTACAGGCTGACGGAACTGACGAGGATACCAAAGCCAGAATCGGAAAAGCAAGACAAGCTTTCATTACTCTCAAATCTGTGTGGAAGTCAACAGCATTCAGCATCGAAAATAAGATCCGGATTTTCAACTCCAATGTGAAGTCAGTCAGTGCTACTATGCGATTCAGAGACTTGCACTGCGCGTCATAAAGAGCATCTCAAACAAACTTCAGACCTTCATTAGCAATTGTCTTCGCTCAATACTGAAGATCAGATGGCCGGCCAGAAAAGATCAGCAATAGTGAGGGATCTCTGGCAATGAGCGAACCAACCAATCAGGAACCGATTGTGAAACAAATAGGCAGGAAGAAATGGAGATGGATTGGCTGGTCATACTCTGAGGAAACCATCAGGTGACATTACTAGACAAGCCATTGCTCGAGTGGAATCCGAAAGGGAAGCGGTGAGTTAGTTGGTCGTCAGTTCGAGGGTGGGGTGACTTGGAGGAGGTCATGTGAAGAGGAGATGAAAGCATGTGGACAGACCTGGAGCAGGGTGAAAACGTTGTCAGAAAACAGAAGGCAATGGAGACGCGCAGCTGAATCTCCATGTTCCTCTAGGAATCAAAGGATAAAATAATAATAATAAATTTAACTGTTAATTGTTCTGATAAAAGGCGATAATTTCACTCACCTTTACTATTTAATTCCGTATCATCATCAATTATCGGAACTGGTACAACTGGCAAGAAATGGCAGATTTGTTGACGAAATAAAAATTCTGAATTAAAAACTGGTGATGTAGGATACTGAACAGGTTTACTGAAGTCTTTATCTGACTTGGCTGTTGAAGTTGATGACGCCGATGATGATGATTTCTTGTTTTGAAAAAGAAGGGACTGAATAACTGAGTTTTCCGCCTCCACTTGTTTATCAAAGAAAGCCTTTTAAATAAATGTAGAAAAAGAATAATAATAAGGAAAATTTTCAATGCATTGATAAGAAGATGGTTGTTTACAATTTAATTTTACGATTATCATTATTATTATTACCATTCATTCCTTTCATTTCGGTGGTACATCTCCATTGCATTTTATTCACTGCCAACCCCTTCAAATGACTCCACAACTGCTTATAATCCTTCATCTCCTCTTTATACAGTCTTCTCCCTTTTACGAAAATGATCCAAATCAGAGTTTCTTAGTTGAATAGAATTTAGGAGATATTCATTAAATGTTCTAATTATTGATTAGAGACTCTCTTCTGCCGTTCTGATTACAACACAGACATTACGATATGGTAATGTTATGACAACCTTCCTCAAGGTTCGATAATAGATGATAACTACGCTTGGGGGAGATTTCGACAATTAATTTGATCTTTATAACATAATTCTGGAAAAAATGTAAGGTTATTCCAAAGTACATTAATCGACTAATAGGACTTTTAGAAGATTAAAACAGAGTACTGCTTTATTTATCATAAAGATCTTGACAAATGAAAGTTGTATAGAATATTTTCAAAATTAAAACTAAAGGCTTCCATCCATTAACTGAGATGCAGCATGGATGTTGGCATAACAACATTCCAAAGTGCACTGTGATAATGCTTCATCTAGCCTGTTAGCCGAATTTCAGGTGTGAGTGACACAAATTCAGTGAGGACTAAGGACTACACAGATGACACTGATTACTCCTAAAAGGCAAATCAGTGCATATATATACATTCATGTGCGTCGGTGGCACAGCGGTTGGGATGCTCGCCGACCATGCAAATGGTCAGGGGTTCGATCCCCAGCCGATGCACTCCTTTACCCCTCTAAGCCATAAATAATGCTGGTAAAGAGGAAAGGTTGGGCATGAGGCTAGCAACCGCATCCTGTAAAATAAACACTGCTACAGAAACTTCAAGCCACTAGCTTGAAACCCTATGTTCCACTGGGAATGTGAAGAAAAAAAATTATATACATTTACGAAGTCATGAATGCTCGATGATAGATATTCTAATTATGTCACCTGTGATACACAAGACTGAGAAGAATTAAGATACTTTTTTTATTGTGAGCATTTGCTGCCTAAAATGCACTTATTAAAATTTTAAATTTCCTGTCTTTATGTCTGTAAAATTTTATCAGTTTAATGTTTAATGTATTTAGCTTTGCATAAAGTAGACATCTTTGGGATATAAAGTTCAGGTCTCTTGCTTCTTGAAACTTGGCACTCTCATTTGTTGCCGTTTCCATAAAGACTTTGGCTCATTACCCAATCCTTCAAAGATCGATTCTATTCTATTCTACATGCTAATGTGTCATATTATTTACTGTTTATATGTTGATTATCACTTTGTCAGCGAAAGTTTTGTTTATCATGTTTATTTTTAGGATTGGTCGATCGACTGAAATAACTCCTATAAAGCGTTACAAGTCAATATGATATGACGTTGGTAGGGAAACGGTGGAATGCTCGCCAACCACGCATGTGGCTTGGGGCTCGAGACCAGGCTTACTCACTCCCAAACCTAAATTAACCAGAAGTAAGCTCAGTAAAGAGTATAGGTTGAGCATGTGGCTGGTAACCCAACTGTGCAAAAATAACACTACTGCTACTGAAACTTTTAAGCCTGAAGTCCGATATTTCATTCGGAACGAAAAGAATTTAATAAAAGTATTACGAAAAGTGTATGCCATTTCAACTTTCAGTCGTCATTCAGTCAGGAGTTTATATCCTGTTCTGTTCTGTTCTGATCTGTCACTACGATATAACAGGGGTCATATGCTTAATCTGAATTAGTTCTATCTGTTAAGTTGGCAGTATGATCACCAATCCAGGAACATTGTGTGCACCACTAAGCAAAAGTTATGCATCACTTGTTACAACCCGGATCACTGTAAACACTACAGCCAAACATGAGGTTAGCAGATGGTCAACTGAAACACTAGGCAATGCTGGCCCGAATCTCAGGGGTAGGAGTGGAGAAGGTGCATTAACTCCTTCGAGGTTGCAGACATGTGTCATTCTGACAACTGACAAGAAGCTTACAAAACTAGATACACGGCTTGCTCTACAGATTGCCTCCAAGTTCTAACAATATTCCATTTTTTTAAAAATTGTATACCCGTCAAAATAAACATACTCAGATTTACGTCAAAATATGACACTTCTGTTTTCTTGTTTCTTTTTTTGCTTTTTTTGTTTTCTTTTTTCAACATACTTTTGACATCTTGTTTATCAGTAAGAACTAATCAATGTCATCCTAAAATTCTTAGTGATGGGAATACTTTAGTGCTTTGCTTTAGAAAAAATATGGAGCACATTTCCAAAATTTGAATGTCACAAAGTTTAAGGAAACAGCTAATGCATGAATGTGTTTTTTGCTATTTGTCTAGACACTATTTGATGAATTATATACCTGAGGTAAAATAATAGATAAATGTTGTATAACGTATTCTCATGACAAGAAGTAACGTACACACATATATATATATATATATATATATATATATATATATATATATGTATAGATAAGTGGATTCAGTTAAAGGGGAGTATATAAGTGTGAAACAGTTTTGGTTCGTTCTTGATTTTTCAGAAAGCAAAAGTAGATTCTATCATGGGTAGAATTCGTTTCTTTTTGCGTGTTACATACACAATTGGATTTTCCCGTTTACAATATGATTTAGGAATCAGTTTGACAATGTTTGGGAGAGTATATATATACATATATAATAAAATGCAAACAGTTGTACGACAGTTATGATCTGATATTCATTTTACTTGTCATCAAATGACAAAACAAATCTGATTGTTACCCTTTGATTTATATAACATACATATGTATATATATATATATATATATATAGTGCTTCAGTCAACTCTTATAATTCATTCATTTATATTATAATTATATATATAACGTTCGGCTCGACTTTATATTTATAAAATTGTCTATCTGGTGCACGGGTAGTTGTTTGATTTTTTGTGTGCGGCTTGACAGAAAGAAGAAGAGGATAGAGAGAGAGAGCAAGCGAGAGCACAAACTGGTTTAAAATATTTGCTGACACAGGATTCATTTAACTATGACTTATCTAATATTCAACCTTTTCTATTTTATATTTTGCTTGTCAGCGCAAAAAAAAGAACTACCTCATTTGGATGGCATTTATTGATCACATTAGTTAAACGATACAATTTCATATTTTTTCTGTAGCTTAACACGAAAACATTTAACATTTTGGCGGGTTATTATAACACACGTTATTGAAAATTATAATATAATATTTTGAAGCGAATAGTGATCATATCTTTCAGTGTTTTAGTGTAGCTTATTTGCATCAGTGCATCTATTGGGTCAGTGGTAGAGCATTCGCCAGCCACGTGTGCATAGTTCAGGGTTCGACACCTTGCCAACGCACTCCTAAACCACCATTAGCAGGCAAAATGACTGGTAAAAAGTGGAAGGTTGGGTTTTAGGCTACCAGACTCATCGCGTTAAAAGTAACACCACTGCTAATGAGACTTCAAAGCTCAAAGTCTGAATCCCTAAGTCTCACTAGGAACGCAAGCGAATACAGAAATTTTGTCCTCAACGAGATTTTTCAGTTATACGAAATAGTTAAATATTAGTTGTGCAACTTCCCGAAAGGAATAACATAGTAATTTTCAAACTACATTTATACATATATATAATATTACATACACAAATCTATCTATATCAGTATTTCGTTATTGAATTTATGTGTTGAAGCCTAATTTTCTAAAGTAAAAACCATTTTATTTTGAAATTTTTACATCAGAATAGGTTAAAAATCATATTCAGTTTATCACACATTCTTTCATCCTAGTCTGAGGTTCTTCAGAAGGGCTCACATATAGTGCTACCAGGGTTTGAACCTGGCACCTTGAGGTTGTGAGTTCCAGGTTCTCGACTATTCAGACACTTGGACCGGAATTCAGTGACCCGTGAATTCTAACTTTGTTAACTAATACCCTTGATGAGTATCTACTTCACTTTGATGTAGCGGACCCTATTGACCATGGCTTCTGAGTTCAATCCTTGGTTAGAATAGTATGTTCGCCTTGCTGAGGAGTCCCAAACTTGGGAAAAGCAGCGTCCCAGCGCTCTATAGTCTTCAGCGTTATGCAGTCCCTACTAAGATCCACAATCTAAAATAAATAAAATTACTGAATTATCGTCTGTTAGTGTGACGACTAACACATAACATTTATTGCTGAAAAATATCCTCCAATATTAAAGTTCTCTGTAACTGCTGAACGATCCTGTAAAGTAATCTAGATATTCAGTAATCAGTTCCAAAACGATACACTAAACTGTTTAAAAGTGAGCAAGTTTGAAGTGTTACTGTCCTACTGTAATATTTTAGTTCTGTAACTCAGAATAGTACTATATGTTTCCAGGGTATACATCTCAGAAAGCAATTGTCTTTTCCTCGCCTTTTTCTATTTTTAACTATTCCATCTGTGATTGGTCAGAGGATTTCATCATGACCTGACATCAGTTAGAGAACTATTGGAAAACTTGAGCGTACTGATGTTAGCTTATGAAGAGATCCTCCAACCAATCAAACAAACAAAATCCTTACAAAAATCAATACTTGAATATTCCATGCGTTGTATAATATTCTTTCAAACCGTGGGATAGCATTCTTTTATTACAGTCGAATTCAGTGAAGGCATACAGAATTTCGCTTAGGTTTATTACTTGCCAGTTAGGTTATTTTCTGATTTGGGAATATGTTGAGATTTTTACTGCTATAGGAAAGGCGCTGGTCTATAATTTCAGAAGTCTCGATTCATTCAAGTTAGACTTAATTTCAATTGCTTCTCTGAGGTATCTATCTGTCCCTCTCCTTTTCATTTTATTTAATTGTTTATATAGGTATATATGTTTAGTGTCAATACCATTAACCTGATAATATCTCAAACGC